CTCAAATAAATTGGTTAGTATCTAAGGTGCCACAAGTACTCCTTTTCTTTTTGCGAATACAGACTAACACAGCTGTTACTCTGAAACCTGTTTTAGAGGCTAGACTTTCAGATCCTTAACTTAATCACCAGCCCTTTCTTATCTTAATCACCCTGCCTCTGTTTGTAAACAAAATACTGACTCCCGGCCCCAGGGGGACACATCCTCTGCAGAACTTACATTTCACATTAATGCCTTGCTGTACTTAAGAGCTCCGCATGGGAGCTTGCACACCTCCTGTATGAAATTCGGGGGGGGGGGACTCCAGCCCCCCCCCCCAAATGGCATCCCTGTCCTGTTGGTGAGAACATTCAAACAAAAGTTCCTTTAACATGCCCGTCCATCCCTCTCTCCCTCCCCCTCACCCCACTCACAACTGTTGTCTTTGGTCAGTGAAGACCTAGAGTTCAGAGGTACAGTCATGTGAGTTCACCTCCCACCAGGAGTGGGGTGCAGGATGTAAGGCACCTTGGTCGCTCCACTATCCGGCTGCTTGCTTCACCAGCCATTTGGCAGCTTGCTTTGTTTGCTCCATTTACTGCTCTGCCTGTTACCCCTAAAATCAGACTCAAGGCTCCCCCACAACAGCCTGCCTATATCAGTAATTTATCTGTTTTTTGGTAGATGAAAGGGGGTGGCCCACCCTAGAGGAACTGACAGGATTTTACCAGGGAGTTTCCCTCCAACCTATGGAGAACTCCCCAGAACAGATTAATTATGTTAACCCCTGGGAGGACATGGATACAGCCCTCCGCTCAAAGGATTGACACTTAGGAAGCAATTCTTTGAAATCAAAAATAACTTTTATTTAACACAACATGTCCTAATACAGTAAATCTAAAGTATATATTTGGAACAAAAAATAAGTTCTTACAGTTTATAAGACACATAAGATAACAAACTAATCGCAGATACATGTTAAAGTATTTAACATGATATTATATGACTAGAAAGGCTTTTCAGTGGTTACATTCTATATGCAATGGCCACTCACATATAGAATGCTGGCAACAAGTTACTTATTTGAAACATTTAAAAACATAATAACAAACATACACAGACATCCAACTTTATTATCTCAAACACACCCATTCATTCAATTCATTATCAAAATCACTGTGCTTACTTTTCCCATAGTCTTCTTTTCCTCTGAAAAGGTCCTTCTGTTTTATTTATATTCTGCTGTCCATTGTTCTGTTCCTTTCTTCTTTAGTGATTTTGCTCTTTTAGATGTTTTCTTCCCTCCTGCATCTGCTCCCTCTCACTCACACCAGGACTGACTAAAGCAGTGGTGGGCAACCTGCGACCGCTAATCCACTGGCAGGCCGCAAGACAGTTTTTACATTGACTGTCCACAGGCACGGCCGCCTGCAGCTCCCAGTGGCCGTGGTTCGCCATTCCCGGCCAATAGGAGCTACAGAAAACGGCAGACAGCACGTCCCTGCGGCCCACGCCGCTTCTCGCAGCTGCCATGGGCCAGGAATGGCGAACCATGGCCACTGGGAGCTGCAGGCGGCCGTGCCTGTGGACAGTCAATGAGACCTGTGGCACCTGAGCTGCAGGTTGCCCACCACTGGACTAAAGCCTGTCAGCTCTCTGCCTTATATACAGATTTCGGCATATTCTGATTGATTATTTTTACAATCCTGAGCATTCCCACCAATCAGATTTAAGCCCTCTGTCAATCAAAGCTGGATCTGACTGAAGACCTGTGCCTTAGGAGCCAGACCTGATTGAAGACCTGTGTTATGCTTCACTGACCCCTCCCTTCAGGGTTTTGGAGTGACCTCTATTTCACCTCAGCTTGCTTACTTACTATTGGCCAAATCTCTCCCAGACCTCAATTTTGGATTTCTCTGACTCTGACTGCTTGCCACCGCCATCTTGTTATCAGCCATAACCATCTAAAAGCATCTAAAATATATTAATTATTAAACCTCTATAATTATAAACAACTATCCATATCTAAGTATACCCTAACACTATGATTCACTATCACCACTCTATTTTTTAATTATTTTAAACAAGTTTAATTTCAATCTCTCCCTGCTTCAGCTAGTGATGGCAGTGCAGCATTCTTATTCCTTGCACAGAACAGAGCAGCTGAAAAATCTCTTGTACCATGCCATCCACTCACCGCTCCACTGCTGTCTGCTCAGGGATGTCTTGAGGTCCCACCACTTAACACAGCTTTCAGCTCTCAGTGACTGCAGCTGTTAGTGGGGGAAGCCTCACTGCTAGCACAGGCTGGGCAGTCTCTTTCATCAGAGATACTGTCCCATAGTAGGTCTAATACTAAGACCTACTTATTAGTGATTTCAGCTCTATTGATCTGCACCAAACGACTGTCAACTGAGTCTTAATCAGCTCTTCCATTACACACTGGAGAGGGGGAGGATCAAATGATGTCTAGGACCCTTAGGCAGAGCCCACACCACCAGGTAAAAACAGCTATCCCAACCCTCTCATCTCCCCGGCCTTTGGCACTCCTGCCTTCAGTCTAGTGAGTGCAGTTCAGTTGAGGGTGAGTCCCTCAATCATGGCATGACAAACACCATTCTGCTGCCCATTATTCACACAACAAAGGTAACAACACTTTATTACCCCTGCCCCCCAGTAACAAAGTGACTTGCAATCCAACACCAGTCAAAAGTGATCATTTGGGCAAAGCAGGTCCATCATGTTGTGCAACTAGGCATGTCTTATGCAAATGGTGTCAGTTCCTGAAGTCTTCTCCTGCAGCTCATCCCTAGATGTCAGGGAAGAGCTCATTCAGACCCTGCTTACATTCTTTTGGCAACAAGGTCTGGATAAAAGGTAATGGAATGAAGCTGCTGTAGGGAGTATTAAAGAAAGTTATATGGGCCAGATTCACCAGTAGTGAAACAGGAGATTCATGCAGCCTTGTTCTACCAAGCCCTGTTGAGTGAGAGGGGAATTTGCCCTAAAGGACAGTACAAAATGTTACTGCTGCTGCTCTGGGGCCTATCTCCACGTCAAGAATTATAACATTCAAAAACCAGTTGGAGAACACGTCAATCTCTTTGGTCGCTCGATTACAGACCTAAAAGTGTCATTTCTTCAACAAAAAAACTTCAAAAACAAACTCCAACGAGAGACTGCTGAATTGGAATTAATTTGCAAACTGGATACAATTAACTTAGGCTTGAATAAAGACTGGGAGTGGATGTGTCATTACACAAAGTAAAACTATTTCCCCATATTTATTCCCCTGCCCCACCCCGCACTGTTCCTCAAACATTCTTGTCAACTTCTGGAAATGGCCCACCTTGATTATCACTACGAAAGGTTTTTTGCCCCCACCCCGCTCTCCTGCTGGTAATAGCTCACCTTAAGTGATCACTCTCTTGTTACAGTGTGTATGGTAACACCCATTGTTTCGTGTTCTCTATGCATATAAATCTCCCCACTGTATTTTCCACTGAATGCATCCGATGAAGTGAGCTGTAGCTCACGAAAGCTTATGCTCAAATCAATTTGTTAGTCTCTAAGGTTCCACAAGTACTCCTTTTTTTATTTCAGTATATGTGAACCTTTCATCCATCATCATTATCATCATCATGGCAAATCCCAAAGAGACATATCATCCTTACAGATTGAGCACTGCCATGTTCAATGTCTAGCTAGGTCATTAAGGTGGTCTGGCTGGATATTCAGTGTATGTTCATCATTGATGATATTATCACACCACCAAAGCTTTTTGTGACACTTTAATTGCTGGCCTTGTAATAGCAGTCCATGGCAAATATGCTTCATAGTCCATTGGTTTTCCATCCTCATAATATGTCCATATCAAAAAGCTGCCAAAACCAAACTAGTGCTGATGACCACACTGTTGTTGAGTAACCCAACTGAAGTCAATGGAACAGAGAGTGTAAAATTAGCATATACGAACACAGAAAAAATCCCAGCGGTCTCATCCAGCTCCCACTTAAGTCAATGGGAAATTTTCTGTTGACTTCAGTGGAAGTTAAATTGGGACCCTAGTGTGTTATAGTCAATGTCTTTTTTTATTTAGAAAAATAGGGTTTCAACTGATTAACACATTGAAATACACACAGATGGCTATATAATTAAGAGCATGCAATGAAGAAGCCATTTAGCTTTTTGTCAAAACAACACTTTTTTCTCATTTTAATCATGTTAGTTTAATCCATAGGCAAAAGGGTCAATGGTATCAGAAATGATACAAGAATTTCTATTGATGTTTTTTATTATTTTATTTTTATTATTATGTGTATTACTGTGGTACTTAAGAGGCCTAGTCATAGACCAGGACTCCATGAACTTCTTTTTTTAACCTTCAATTTTATAAATCCCAACACTTTTATATGAAGTCCTGTGCAAATTCCTCATGAGGTTTCTGTGCAAAAGGGAAAGGAAGGATGGGTATTTGAGACTGGTGAATTTTTCCAACCCTTTAAGAGTTTTTTTGGAACACCTCCACAGGCACTTTCTCTGCCCATATTGACTTTACCCATTATCACCACCTTGGCACTTAACAAGATCTTGGGAGAAGAGTGCCCTAACTGGTTTCAGACAGCAAGTTTTTTTAAGGCTGCTTTCTACATCTGACACATTTGTCCTTGTTGTGAAAACTGACCTAATTTGCGTCCTTATGCTCAGAGGACAATAGCTCAGCAAAATAAAGCTGTGATCTAGATAAAAATAGAACTAAGATTAACTATTGTTAACAACAGATTAACCAGATCTCTCACTCTACACTTTATTTTTATCAAACTCCACTTGAAGATAAATGTATTTGTATTGATTAAAAGCTATCAAAGACAAACTCATTCCTATTCAACCATCTGATGTGAATAATAGCAAAGCTTTGCACTTCCATATCACATTTCATGCAACGATCTCAAAGCATTTTACAAACAATACATTAAACTCAACATCTCTGAGCAGTATGTGTTATCCTCACTATTTTGCAGATGGGGAAACTGAGGCAGATAAGTGCATCTGGCCCCAGTCCCGCCCCTTCTGCCTGAGGGCCCACTCCTTCCAGGGGCCCAGAGCCATCCCCCACACCTTGCCCAGGAGCCCGGCCACCCTGAGTACTGGTAAGTCCATTTAAGTTACTTTCACCCCTGGTATGAAGTCATCAGATTTTGTCACTAAAATATGTTGTAAGTTTGATAGTCTCTACTGTTAGTTCACCAGTGACAACAAAGGAGGTAATCCACTCCCAGGACCCAGGAAGGTATTAAGCAACCATTAATCAGCAGGGGAGTTGTAAACAAAGGATTTACAATGCTGTAAGAGGGATGGACAAGCAAAACACAGTGGGGGATTGCTCAGCTATGTGACACAGCAAAGCCCACCAGGACATGTCTGGGTTAGTGTTTTCCAGGCACATGGACTGAGGATATAAAATAGGGGACAGTGGTATCATTCTTTTACCTTTACCCACCACCTACTCTGAAGCAACAATAACCATGGGAAGACAAAGACTTGAACTGAGGAAACTGGTCCCAGGCTTAAAGGGAAAGCCAGTGTATTAAGAGCAATAACATACCTGCAACATCCAGTGGGGTGAAAAAAACTGCTAAATCCAAATACTGCCTAGTCTAATAAGGTTTACGATTTAGACTCTGTGCTTACCTTTTATTTTCTTTAACAACTACCTCTGACCTTTTCTGCCTACCACTTATAGTCACTTAAAATCTATCTTTCTATAGTTAATAAATCTGTTTTATTTACAGTAACTCCTCGCTTAACATTGTAGTTATGTTCCTGAAAAATGCTACTTTGAGTGAAACGATGTTAAGCTAATCCAATTTCCCCATAAGAATTAATGTAAATAGGGGGCGGGGAGGGGTTAGGTTCAGACAAAAGCCTTTTTAAAAATTATTTATATATACATTTCAGTATAAGTTTTAAACAAACAATTTAATACTGTACACAGCAATGATGATTGTGAAGCTTGGTTGAGGTGATGGAGTAAAAGCATGGGATATTTCCCAGGGAATGCCTACTGCTAAATGATGAACTAGCACTTGGCTGAGCCCTGAAGGGTTAACACAGTGTTGTTAATGTAGGAAACACTCTACAAAGCAGCACGAAAGGAGGGAGGAGACACAGCATGGCAGAGAGTGAGAGACAGACACACACGGTGGGTGGGTGTGAGACAGACAGAGACACACGGTGGATGGATGTGAGATGCGCATTGCCCCTTTAAGTACGCTGACCTCACTCTAAGTACATTGCCTTTTTAAGTATATCAGCAAGTTGAGACAGCAGCTGCTGCCAGCAAGCTCCCTCTGTCCTGAGCCCTGTCCTGTCCTTCCTGCTGCTCTGTGGAGATAAGGTACAGAAGCGGGGGGAGGGGAACACCCTGACATCAGCACCCCTCTTCCCTCTACATAGTAAGCAGGAGACTCCCAGCAGCAGCTCCAAGGCAGAGGACAGGAACAGCACACGGCAGTGGGGGGAGGAACAGCTGAACTGCCCTGCAATTGATAGCCTGCTTGGCAGCTGCCACACAAGGAATTTGGGGGAGCGGGGAGTTGAATGGGGGTTGCCGGTCTACCCTAGTTCCAATCCCCCACCAGCTAGCTCCAACGGGCTGTTCTTCCTGCAAGCAGTGGACAAAGCAGGGAGCTGACAAACAACATTATAAGGGAGCATTGCACAACTTTAAACAAGCATGTTCTCTAATTAATCAGCAAGGTAACAACATTAACCGAGACGATGTTAAGGGAGGAGTTACTGCACCTAAAACGGTGTAGTTTTAGTTGAAGTGCTTGTGGGATCTCAGCTCAGATTACAAAGGCTGGTGTGTGTTCACTTTCCTTTGAAGAAGTGGCAAACTAATTAATGAGCTTCCACTGTCCAAGGGTGTCTTGAGCAGTGTAAGACGGGGTGAAAGGCTGGGAGCTAGGATGACTGGCTGGTGCCTCTCTCTCTGTGATACATGAGAGGCTCAGGGAGCATTCATGCAATTTAGCTGGGCGTGGGGCTCCACATGCGAATGGCTGAGTGATCACAACTCCTGGTGGGGTTTCGCTGTTTGTCACTGGCACGGTATTGTGCGAGACAACCCAGGCAGAAGAGTTAAGGGAGCACAGTGGTCCTACAGTTCCAGGTTGTACCCCGGGGACCCCATCACACCTTCACACTTAGAAGGAACTGAAGGATGGTTGAGGTCACTTCCCCTTACATATCCTCAAATTCTTTATGAGAGGAGGTGGGGGAAGGTATGAGTGGCCCCATTGGAAGATTCTGGAAACTCGCAGCACAGGTGCTGTGATCCCCAAGTGGGGCCAGCTGAAGTAGAATCAGGAGTCCTGAAGGCCAGCCTTGTGTTCTAACCATTGCTAAATCCCTAGTAACTATCATGCCTTAACTAGGTCTCAGAGTTAAAGATGTATTTGAAATCTGCATACTCTTATCAAATATCTCATGAAAAAGGAAGTAAGCAATTACTATTGACTGCCAATATTTTCTGGAACCCAAAATGTGTACAATTAATCAGACTACAGTAGACATCCTGTTTCTTTCTTCTCTTTGTGTGTTTTACCTTTATTTGAGTCCTCTAGCATGTGTTTATCTTTTGATGTAATAGTCTGCTTTTAACCTTTCAAGGTTGTATAAAAAGGAAAATTATAGGAAGGCAGAGGATTATGATAATACCCTTGATTTTGCTTCCTAATGCTAATTAAAAAATTGCAAGATATTTGGAACCTATCTCTGTACCCCAATCGAACTATGTGGAGTATACGTCCAACACTACCCATATAAACAATGCAAATAACCATGTACGCCACTGTACAATCATGCGTATCATTGAGTCTAAACATCATTTTGTGCCAGATCTGCAGACAAATATAATGATACAGGTGACAAACACAGATGTAATTAACCATTAGGAACATTGTTTTTTTCTTCTGTTAAATCAACAATAATTATTGCCTAGAGATTCCCAGAAAAATTCAATTAATCAATGAATGGACTTTTAGATAGCAAATTATTTTTACTAGATAAAATTACGTAGATTCTCCTGATGAGAGGCTCTGCAAACAAGGTCAAGGAAAGTAAATGTCTACCTCTGGCAAAAGCCAGTGCCTTTGCATTTTGAAGCACCCCACAATTTTTTACCTCTAGGAAATGAAAAATTGCTTCTGCCGTGTGATGTAAAACAGACTTTAAAGAGAATATTGCACTTCAGATTTCAATCCATAATCAAATTGTCACTCAGATCAGACATTTTGACAGTTTGTTAATTGAGACAAGCTTGCACAGATACTCTACTAAGTAATAATGTCTCAAAGCCTACATATGTGCAAAAATATGTGTACCAGTGCAAAGAAATGGTTTTTGTGCTTGTTATTAATATTATTTATTACTATTTATTATTTGTATTACCACAGGACCTTGGACCAGGATTCCATTATGCTAGGTCAGGGGTGGGCAAACTACGGCCCAGGGGCCGCATCCAGCCCTCCAGGCATTTTAATCCGGCCCTCAAGCTCCTGCCAGGGAGTGGAGTCGAGGACTTGCCCCACGCTGCGCAGCTCCCAGAAGCAAAGGCATGTCCCCCCTCCAGCTCCTACGCATAGGGGCAGCCAGGGAGCTCCGCATGCTGCCCCCGCCCCAAGCACCACTCCTGCAGCTCCCATTGGCTGGGAACCACGGTCAATGGGAGCTGCAGGGGTTGTGCCTGTGGACATGGCAACACGCAGAGCCGCCTGGCCATGCCGCCGTGTAGGAGCCACTGCTTGTGGGAGCTGCTTGACCCAGAGCTTGCACCACTGACCCCCCTCCCATACTCCAACCCCCTGCCCCAGCCCTGATCCCCTTCCTGCCCTCCGAACCCCTCAGTCCCAGCCCAGAGCACCCTCCTGCACCCCCAACCCTTCATCCCCACCCCTATCCCAGAGCCCGCAATCCCAGCCGGAGCCCTCACCCCCCCTGCATCCCAACCCCCAATTTCATGAGCATTCATGGCCTGCCATAAAATTTCCATACCCAGATGTGGCCCTCGGGCCAAAAGGTTTGCCCCTGTGCTAGGTGCTGTACAAACACAGAACAAAAAGATGGTCCTTGCAATATATGGGCCAAATCCTGGGCCTGTAAGTTTCTAACATTAAGACAAAAAAAACCCAGACCAGCCACACCAGTCCCATAGTGCCACCTCCTGCATTCTTCAGGGAGAACACAATGATGGGAATTCAGAGTGGATCTAAAGAAATTATCAGAATTAGACCTACAAGGAGGGTATTAGCTGCTCTTCTCTCAGAAGTGTCACCTGCTAGCTGATTTACAAAGCACAAATGGTGACAATGCCAGAAAGGAGCATGTATCCTGCCTTTCTGACCAAAGATAAGCAATTCCAGTAGTGTCTGTATGTCAGTGAGAAAACAGATTTTTCTTTTTACCATTAATACATAAGTGAGGCATGAGTACAAAGCAAATCCTTCTATTGTTACTCGCTCATATTGAACTTTGGTGGGAACAGAAGCTGCAGGTGTTCCATTTCAAAGGATTAATTGTATCAGTTTACTGAACATCAGAAGCACAATTAAATCCATTTGCTGTATTAACTTCTCTAGGTTAGACCTGTAGCTTGTTTCATGGATCACACTCTAGTTGCATATTAGTGTTTCCAAAAATAATCTATATTCCTACCTCTGGAATTTTAATCAGACCCCCTAGTCATTAGTTTACTTTAGAGCAGCATGTTCCAGTGGATAGCACACAAGACTGAAAGTCAGGAAAGTTGGTTTCTGTTCCCAGTTCGGCTACTGACCTACTGTGTGACTTTGAGCACTAAGTCACTGTGCCTCTATGTCTCTTCCTTATTTGTGTTTTTCTATTTAGACTGTAAAGTTACTGCTACCAGACATTATTGCCTCATATAGACTTTAATATACTTTAAATGCCTTTTTATTTAATAGGTAGATGCACATCTGTTAGAGTAGAACCTAAATTTAACTTTCAAGGGATGCTGTCAAGGCTATTGTTTATGCAGCATATAGTCAAGTTGTGCAATACACGTTCACAGGTGGTCAATGAGTCAAATACTGGTGTTTGGATTTTAGAAAGGGCTGGGTAACTTTAT